GCCAGACCGTACATCGGCAGTTTCCCCGAGTCCATCAGCCAGTCCGGGATCCTCTCCGTTAGCCGTGCAGCTTTGGGACTGATTCCCTGTAGGACAGAATAAAAGTCCCTTCGCGTTCTGATCTCGGCTCTCTCCCATCTTCGAGTCAACGGTGGGGCCAAGCACCACATCACAAGGTGTTCGACAGTCTCTCGCCCCTCTCCACACTCGCATATAGGCGTCAGAACCTCTGGGACTCTCCTTTCGAATAAGAAAGCCCGAAGGCCTATGGCCCCGGTTCGAGGTGACCAAATTTAAGTCGACATTGGGTTAGTTAAATATTTGCTTGACTTAAGACACTGAAGACTAACTTCGCAGTTTCCAACTGAAAGACAAGTAACAACTAACAGTCCCAGTGACCATCATGTCAGGGTCCGAGAGGCACGGGTGATAGACGAACAGTAAAATTTCATCCTGGCTCTAATCACTGGGGTATGATCTTGGCCGCTGCAATGACTGTCTGGCGAGAGCAGACGGGTGAGTCGCCATCTCAGAGGAAGAGAAACGGAAGATCTGAGATTCTGTGAAAGCAACAGGACCTGCATGTTCTTCCGAATTGACTGCAATGCATCCATCAGTTGTCCATGACTCCAGGAGGTTGAGGCACTGCCAGTCGGCAAAGAGCTCAACCTTCATACCGTCGACTTCGATGCCGGTCAAGACGGCCGTGTGAGCTGAGTCGACCCTGTAACACCATATCTGTTGGTCTGCCTGCCCGGAAACAGATCCAACCTTGACAAGATTGGGATCAGACGTGGCGCCATGCTCAGGACAGCCTTTCTCGTAGAAGTCAATGACCCTGCGACATGGTCAGGGACGAATGAGATCCTGCTGAACCCGGATTCAAGGAGACCAAGCCCACCGGGTTGCCATGCCGACATGGCCCACTCCGGTAATCAGCACAACTGACGGGAGCAGAAAGCGCGTTGTAGCAAGGATGGGCGAGTTGATAGCGGCGAGATCAATCTTCACAACTTAGTCTCTGTCGGAAGCTGATGGGTGAAAGGAAGGGCAGATAAAGCTGGCAACACGTGGGGTTGTTATAGATAGCCTGCGGTTCTTGAAGCAAGCCTGTGTTCGGAAGCCCCGCACATTGCCGCCTTTCTTTCCCACAACGCCTCTCCAGCAAGCAGGTGGCTTCTCTTTAGGTATCCCGCCAACCTTCTTCCCTCTCCCTGTAACCCATTAAGCCCCTTTTCTACTTGAACCGTGACGCAACTGAAGCAGCTCTGTTCACTGACCGAGCTCTCTCACCGACTCCTACCTGATTCGGAACCTATGTGGTTGAGTCCTATGATTCGCTTGTGGATCCTAATCAAGGGTTTCAGCTGTTGGGGCACCCAACACACGCCGTGTTGGCCTAATATCTGGTGAACACGTGGGATATCGTTCTCGGCGTTGGCTGATCCAGTAACAGGGTGTCGAGACATGCTGGGGCAACTCCTGAACGTAATGACAGTGACCGAGAGGAGCTGCGTCCCCTAACCGTCCCGTGAAAAGATATCACCAATATATTTTGTGCAGTAATCTGGCTGATTACGCTTGTGGTCGACCAACATAGGCTGATTCCTGACCAGGATTCGATAACTCAGCAGATACACCATGATCACTTCTCCAAGGAGCAGGTGCAAACAACACGTTATGCATGTCTGCCAACTAACTTCCTCTGACTCCTTCATCCCGTCCGCGTCGCCGCCATGACTGACTCGTTGACAGCGCTCCTTAGAGGCAACTTGGAGGGAGGTTGATTTCGCCTGCTGCACGGAGACGTCTAGTGAGTTTGGCGCTTTCGGTCAGTACGGGTATCAGATGGAAAGCTGGACACCAGGCATGTATGGAGTTGTACTAAATCTGTGACGAATTCCCTGCAGAAGCTGAAGCTGCGACTCGGTGTTGTTGCTCAAGGAAGCTCTCGTCTCACACCGAGTCACATACATTGGACATTCTGCGCGATATTGAGTAAAACTGGTCCCAGTCAGCCTTTTCGCAGCTTCGTTGAACTTGGGAGTTTCCCTTCATCTCGTCGGTGCCGCCGATGTCTGCAAAATGAGCAGAGACAACAAATGCCAGGAGCGCAGTATTGGAATTACCAACGATGGAACCGGCTACCCCATCTGCGTCACTTACGATTCTGACACGGTCTTCTATAATCAAGACATTCCCGATGCTGAGGGAGGGTGTAACACCGAGTCAAGCTTTTTTCATTACCGCCAACGAATATGATATTGTCCCCGGCTAACATTCGCTCTCTCACTCCAAGGGCTTGAGGCCTTACATTGACATTCCTGAGCTCGACTTGAATTGCAGAATCATCGTCAAGTTCCCCGCAAACACGGATCTGCCGGGCTGCGGATACATGATAGCCAGCTTCAGCCAGCCGGCTTGCGCCGTCCTCGAACTGGAGAAGGCCTTCATGCTCCAGTTCAGCTGCGGCACCGGCGACTGCTCGGCGGCCGGAGCCGAGAAGGCCCGCCGCTCCGCCCAATTTGGAGGCAAGCAAGGCTGGAGCGAGTTGCTCGATCTCGATGCCGCCAGCATTGGCATGTACAGTCTCATCCTCCGCAACGCCAACGGCACCGAGATCACTCCAGCTCAGATTGGCTCTGCTCAGGTGTCTAACAGCGCCAGCCACCCAGTCCTTCTGGCCCCTCAACTAGAGGCCTCAAATTCAAGCGCAGCTGCGAGTGGGAACTTCTCGAAAGCCGATGAGGGCAGGTCAGAGTACACCCGTCCTGCTGACGCGCCACAAATTATCAGACGCACACAGTCTCTGGACGGGGGTAATTTACCATCAGAGAAACGCGGTCGCAGTAATTCACAACATCAATGAGCACTGGCTTCGCAGACATTCTCTCGCTCGGCGTCGGCTTCAAAATGACCGAGACGATTGAGGATTCCGAAGAGCACACTTGCCGTTGGCGAAGGCCAAACCGGGGATATAGGCTTCACTCCCTATCTATTGTGCATCACAGGCATGTACTGCGTGACGCAAAGCAGATTTACCAAGTAGATACTAAAAAAAGCTGAAGGGAGTGCCACCTGCGATGGGAATCAGGTCAGCGGCGAAATCTGCACTCCGAATACGATTAAGAAGCCGAACAGAGTTGTGATTCTGGACGGCATCTTTCATCTCATCACCCATAGGTAAACTTCCCACTGCCTGCGTCGCAAGCCTGGGAAAATGGTGCAATGGATGCATCATGGATGTCTGATCGTACCTGTTCTTCAAAGTTGTCTCTTCACATGCCACTCAGTCAGTCCTTACATGACCTCCCATTCTGTTTCAATTGTTTTTGTTCAGTCTCTTAGCAACAAGAAATCGTATGGTTCCCTTGCAATGTCCCTCTCTTCATCTCATTTAGCCTGCAACCATCTGTTATGCGCAAACCCTCCCACAATTTATTTCTCCCCGATCTCGCCAACAAGCCAAGTCTCGTCAAACAGTTGCTTGCCCAGGACATCGTGCACAGCGTCAATCCGCATGATGCTCCCCAGTGGCTGTTGCTCCGGCCGCTGTAATTATCGGGGAACCCGTGCTGCTATTATCCTTTCGGCCCGGGGCCGAATGCACGGAGCCTGCAGTCAGTCGGTCGAAGCACGACGAATCAGCTCGGGTCCGAGTTGACCTTAGATCGTGTTGTCCTTGGATTCTCGGTAGCATTCGTCGCTGAGTCCGAGATTCGTCAGAATGTCCGTTAAGATTCTGCCAGAATACCCACTCCATCCTCTCCCAGAGACTGGTAGAGAGTGCCAGCCATGGAACAGAGGCGCTCTTTCTGTTCCTCTCTTCCTTTTTCTCCCATGATGTGTCGTCACTAACAGTGACACAGAGTAGGTTTGCCCGTCCGGAGACTAGAATCGGCCGGTAGGTTTCATTCATCAAGCTGTGTTGCGGGAAGGACCGAAGGAACCTCGGGACCCGACCCGACCGAGTCCAACGGTCAAGCCAATGATAGCGACTGGAAACTGCAGCCTGGCAAGTGTCACCACACAGGAAGACCGGGGCCTGTCGCCTGCACGGTTCTTCTTGGTTCGATTCCTTGCTGTGCCGTACAGGTACCATCGGCTCTGCCGTCAACAAAAATGGAAAGAGCGAGAGGCACCTCTTGCAGCAAGCCGCGCCTGAAATGAGCCAGCCCCGCTTCTGTCCTGAAGGATAAACGAATCGCGGCGCATTCTGACGAGACTTGCCGACGGGGGCACCTCTTTTCCACCTCCACTTCTCCCCGCTCGCCAGGAGTTCTGAGTTGAGACAAGACCCTACCTGACGTCTTATCATGCCACTACCCATGGACATGGCCGAGAACCGTGCAGTAGCGCCCGCCTGGCCGGGCCACCCCAGCCCAGTTCTCTCGACGCCTCCAACACCGGGTGCCCTGACTCCGACCCCCATTCCCGACACCATGCCGCACACGGCGGCCGCCCAAGAAGCAGGGAGCTTGAAATCACGCACGCTGCAAGGCCCCTCGGCAAAAGAATGGGCAAGATACCGCGAGACCATCATCGGCCTCTACAGGCAGTACCCGTTGAAGCGCGTCAGCGACATCATGAGAAGACAATATGGCTTTTCGGCAAGGTATGCCCAAATCTCTGTTGGCACGCGACGGCGGCACCCTCGCTGGCTTCTTCTTCCTGCCTTGTGGGTTCCCGAAACACAAACAAAAAGCACGACAGCGCATGCGGGCTCTCAGTGGGATGCTTGGCGCATATCCTCCATTGTCGTCGTGGCCTGTACATGCACGGTGATTAGCACACTTACCACGCTGCATCGTATTCCGTCGCAATTCCAGAGTGTCCGAGTGGGCTCGTCAACTGCAGACATGAAGCGTCTCTTCGTTCCTTCGGCGAAGGCGGATAATACCCCCCATCCGTCCCATGCTCTCCTCGTGGTCAAGTGCTCGGATTTCAGGCCATCGCGCTACGTTCTGCGTCCTTGCTGAAATCGTATATCATCCCTGGCCCAGCCATTCCAACTTCCCTCTAATCTACCCTCTCACCCAATTCTCATCTACCTCAGTTCACCATGACCTTGATCCGGCTCGCTGATTCCCGCGACAGCAAGCGCATGTATGACAAGCGATTTCGGGAGTGGAACGTCTTCAAGAATGTCAACAGCGACGAGAGGGCCCGGGCCGCTCGGCAAGTCCAGGACCCTGCAGCGCCCCCGGATCAGCGAGGCGACGACAGGAACTTCAGTCAGGAAGACCTGCGCAGGACCCTACGATGTGCCAGGAGCATCCAGCAAGGAGTACGGCGACCACCAGGGGCGGCGGCCTGTCCCGTCACACCCGTCGAGACCCAAAACACAGTTTCCCAACAGCCCTGCCGGCAACCCAGACGCAGCATCAGCATCTCGGACCTGATCAAACAGGAAGATGCCCCTCAGGAGATCACCGCGCCAGCCTTTTCCGGTCACAAGACTCCCTCACAAGTGGCGTTCTCACCACCGAATACCCCAGGTACATCCATGTCAGACCCAGCTTCCCCGGATGACAGCGTTCAGAAGCAAGGCAACTCTTCTGCCCTCATCAGCTCCGGCTCCCGGGACCCTGGATTGGCCGCTTATCAGGCTCAGATCAGAAACCTGTTCAAGCTTCCTCTTCGTTCCATCTCCCCAGACTCACAAACACGAACCATGAGCATCATCACGCTGAAGCTCCGTGAATATTACGACTGGCAGCTGAGCAACATACCGGAGGGCGTGCTCCCGGATGAATACCTCGGACAGAGATCCTCTGACGAGTCTACAAAGTACTGGAACACCATCAAGGATGCCATTTACCTGGTCAAACTCGCAGCCAGTTTTGTGGAAGCTCCTGACCTCGACAACCGCCCTGACTGGCGGGCGTGGTCTGCATTTGCCGACGCCGGTTGCCATGCGGCTGGGGCCATGACCACTCAACCATTCGACTTCCTGCGGAACCTATTCGCTACGCTCTCCCCAGCAAACACCAGCGCCCGCCCAGAGCTTCGAGGTATTCTCCTCCGCTTCCTCACCAGTGAGGCCCAAAGCAGGCTCTCGTCCAACCATCCCATCACTCAGATTACAAAAGAACTGCAGAACGACCAAGATTGCCAAGAAATATCGCAGCGCAGCCTACAGTGCATGCTCGACATCTTCAACAGCCGGCTCGGGCGATCGAGAGCTATTACTTTTAAACTCCTCGACTCTCTCGCCACGCTTCTCCGCCGAAGCGGGCAGTATCAGGCGGGTCTGGAGATCGTCACGGAGCTTCTCAACATCTCCCGTCCGGTATTTGGATCGGACTCTGATCAGGTGCGCTCAGTAGAGAACGAGCTCGCTCACTTTTACATGCTGGCCAATGAGGATGATCTCGCACTCGGACATTGCATGTCTGTAGTCACGAGACCGCCTTCCTCGGCTTCAGAGTCCCAGATGCAGACCACCTTCTACCAGGATGGCATTGCCGCGCACGCGATGGAGGACATCGCCGAGATACACCAGCGCCGCGGCGACTTGGAACAGTGCATCACCTGGCTGGAGCGCGCCTCTTCGATAGCGCTGGTGGTTTGGGGACCCAAGGCTGTCGCCACTGGCCATTTGATTGACAAGATGACGAACCTGCAGCGGCAGTTTGGCAAGGACTTGTTGAAGAGCGCCACGATGTGGGAAGCTGCGATAATCTAGGTAGTGGATACTGGAGGTGGTGATGTCTTACGGTATGTTTTTGTAAGGGGCTGTTGGATACCTTATTACCTTGTCTCCTTTGTCACACCTTCTCATAATCCGGCCAACTAGCACATTTACCCACAGATCCCACAGCACAATGCGTTGAATCTTTTCAAGTTTGTGTGTCCATTTTATCAACTGCTGCTTGCAGGTTCCCCAAGGATGTCATGGTGTGCCACCCCCATCTCAGGAGTTCGGACCCTCGGATGGCCCAACTCACTTCCACGTACCTCTTTATCCCCCGAGTCGCGCTGCAATGACACCGCGCAGACTGCCGCACTGAGTTCTCCAGAGGCTTTGTTGCAGCAGATCCAAAGAGATGAAATTCATTGAGCGGACCGCAGCATTTTGAGCCAAAAAGCTTGAAGGGTCGCAGCAGAGCACCCGGAGGTTTGTCCCGTAGAAGAACAATTTGAATTGGAAGCCAACCCCGGAAGGAAACCCAGGATCTGGATACAAATGTGTTGTATGCTGGAGCTGCTGCCAGAAACGATAAGAAAAAGGAGGAAAATGATAGTACTAATTGTCCCTCTGGCCAGCACCGACCCTGAACGTCCAGAAGCCGCCGACCTCCCACCTCCTCACCCTGAAGCGCGCACCTTCCACCGTGCACCCACCGACGCACACACAACCACTGAAATGCAACACCACCTCCATCACCTTCAGGCAATGTTCCTAACCTATCCCTTCGAACTAGGACCTAGTTCCTCAGGCAGAACGTCTGGCCCTTGCCGTCCGACCAGCAATACTCGTTTGCACCGCAACTCCCAATGGAGAGCCACGGGCCGCCATGGGGGTCGCACTGAATCACCCCGCCGGGACCATTAATACCCGCCGCGCAGAAGTAGCCGGCCGGATACTTTCGGCACAGATTCGGCTCCTGAGGGGTCACGATGACTTGGGGTGATGGAGCTGCGAGGCTGGGCTAATTGTTGCTCCAGCGAGGAGCGCGTGGAGGGTTGTGAAGCGCATAATTTGTTTGAGGGTAATCTACTTAGGTAGGAAGGGGCGGGATCCGAACTGGAGTTGATTTGTTCGCGTCGAAAACAGGCTCAGAGGTGAGGGGGGCTGATGTTGATGGAGTCACCGATATGCTTGATACGGCCAAGCGTCTCCACCGCCCTGCAGCAGTACATTGCGAGTTTCCTGACAGCTGCCACGCCTAGCGGGCACCCTCTTTTCAATCCTGCACTCCAACCACAAACCACCAAGAAGATTTACCACCCTCAACAGCGCCAGCAGCTGTGTATAGCAGCAAGCGCAAGCAGGGCGTGGTTGATCTTGATCCTGGTCCGCAGCCGAAGAAGCCAGAACCCTCTACTGCTCTGCAGACGCCAACCCGGGTTGAAGACTGCATCTGGGTCGCTTGTACTTCGAAGAATGCTGGCGCCACAGCCAATTCCGAGGCTAGGAATACGGCATTGGGTCTGACACGCCTGGAACAAATTGGGGATGGTTCATACGAGCCAGGCACAGCGGCGCCACGGGCGAGCGCGCGCTTCATTGACGGATTGGATGCTCTAGATCCCGACTTCGAAGACGCTCACGATGCCGCGCTGGCCGCCGCCGATGCCGCTGCCTGCGAGGCTCGCGAGGATGCTGCTGCCTTACAGTAGCTGCCAGCTAACTGCAAGAGCGCCTCGATAGGCCGTAACTGTGTATATGTATTCAGTAGCTTACGAATATTGCAGAAGCAGTGGAATTAAGTCACTTGTTTTCAGCCCGTTGATTAATTGGTTTTTTTAACAGCGGTAGCTGTAGTCTGATTAGTTGGCTGGCAGCTGTCACAGCCTGTCAGGAAATTTGCAATGTACTGCTGCAGGGCGGTGGAGACGCTTGCCCGTGTCAGGCATATATATCAGTGTGCTAGATAGCTAACATATTGGTGTGCGATTTAGATGTTCCCTTAAACAAACGCGCTGTGACGAACAAAAGTGGATGAACATCAGCATACTCCAATCCTGCCCAGCGCGCCTGGAACAACGCGTGGTCATTCATCGACGATCTAAAGAGTCGGTGTGAGTTGTGAAAACCCAAGCGCATCCGTTGGATGGGAAGACTTCGTCCTTCCAATCGGATGGATGGATTAAGATTACCATATCAGCCGGTTTTTGGGGGCGATCCTCTCTATCCTTGCTTCAGAATCACTCCCGCGAACCAACTGCACAACAATGGAACTTGCCAGCGGCGTGGGCAAGGCGGGTTACCAAACGGAGAGGCGACCTCACGTCCGGGGAAAGACAGGGACCTCTCCGGCGGATGTCAGGAACCAGACTGTCGACAGCATGCATGCTCTGCATTGGGAAACAGCCCGGCATTCAGGATTCAGGAGAGATTCCGAACTGAAAGTCCCACCCAACCGCCGATGCTGTGAACCCCCATCTTATCCATGATACGAGCGTAACCTTTAGAGATAGAAACAAGCTGAGAAATAGCAAAACATACCCGTGAGGACAGAAGTCTAACATTGACACGTTCATGGCCGAATACCCATCGATCCGTTCAATGCTGCTCAGAATGATATTCATCAGAAACCGCAGTGCCATGACCCACGAACCCGTGCCTTGTAAACCCGATGCACCGAGTTACCCGTGACACCTCCCACCGCCATCAATATGTTCTCAGTCAAGAAGGTCCAAGCCTTCCCGGTAATTTTTCACTGCATCAAAGATGGCCGTTGAGACGGCGAGTGCTCTGCAGATGGGCCGCGTCAATCTGTTTGTGTTCAAATTTCCGACCTCGCAACAGCACGCATGCCAATGCTTGCGTGATAATTGAACGGGGAAACTGGAGGGGAACTCGACATACACCTGGATAGATGCCCATATCAACGGGGAGATCAACCGCATGGCACCGACGTCTCGCGCCCTGATGCCCAGAGCAATGGCGAGGCCGACTCCGGCGCCCGCCAAGAGCAGGTTGAGCAAGCAGCCAAAGAGCGTGGCTGTCTGTTTGCGCCAGTATTGCTCTCCCTCGGTCAGCGTGATTCTGTTTGGGTCTAGGATCAGGAGGAGTGCAAAAAGGGCAATGTTGAGCACGAGGCCGACGGTCCCCTGAGTTCTGGTAAGCATGTCCGACAGTGTCAAAGCAGGGAAAACGCAGAAACTTACCACGCCCAGACAGGCCATGATCAGGGTTCGGCTGGCCACGTCGAATGTGAGCCCATCCACGAACATTCCCGCCATGGAGACGGTGCAGGCATGCATCTCGGCGACTGCTTGTGGGTGAGGCGACCGAGTTGACTCGATGCCGGACTCGATCTCGTAGATGTAGCCGATACCGGCCGCGACAATGAGACCCAGGTGGGCTAGAAGCACCGAGATGTGCATTAACTTCCATCTGAAGTGCCTTGTCCGATACATGATGGCGAAGCGGTGACCGAAAGATGGTGGGTGAGGGACAGGCGTGATGTAAGGTGGTTACGAAGTTCGGAGGGGCCCTTGTAGTCAACGCGCGGACCGAATGACGATGGCACGGGATATCGGGGTTGGTGCCGTCGGGGTTATGAAGACCAGAAGGTGATGTAATGCAGTGGTGGGCTAGCGCGATGTTGATGATGTCGGAATACTCGGTAACTCTGCCGTGCGAACGAGCGTTATATCAGCAGAGAGTGTGCAACGGTCCACCTAAGCAACGTGTCTCCTTGATGCGTCGTCTGCCAGGCCAAGGTAGCCCGTAGACCGATCTCAGACACAATCAGTCGCCATCTCGAGGCATCCCAAGCCTTTGGCGTCTCTAAGATGGCGTTAATCACAGCTAGTAACTTGGGACGAGAATCCTTTGGCCCCAAGGAGTCAGTGCCGTGAGCCCCAGGCTGACAATTTTTCAGCACCGCCAACCAGTGGAAGCCGCCTCTTGGACTCTGGCCGCCACATGCTCTGCCAGATGTCGCAGGTTGCCGCACGACAAGCCACAGGGTTGCCTGCGCAGTCACTCTTCGCAGTAGCGTGTTGGGGGCAAGCCACGGGGACCCCAGAGTCAATCTCTTACACGCCCCATCCTATCGGCCGTTGGTGCCGGAGCTGGGCCGATCTCGCGTCGCCAATTCGGCGGTCAGCCATCTTTCAGGACTTTTGGCCGTCGTGCCGTTCCCCAGCGCCGTTCGGAGCATCAGACACCCGCCTCCTTGCAGATCGATCGTATTCGGTTACCGATATCAGGCGCATAAGCAACGTCTCCTGGATGGCATGCAGCTTCTCATTGGCAGGTAAATCTGCCTCGCCACCAGGCCATTCTGTTAGCTCGTTCCGTTGACAGTCCGAGCAAAGCACAACCCAAGCCACTGGAAAACTTCAAGTAGAAAGACAATGGTCTATAACTCTTGGTCTAGCTGCCTGGTTGGGGCTGAATGGACTTCCAGCCTCCGCAGGTCCAGTTGTTGTCAGCACGCTCGGCCGCAGCAGAGCAGGGTTGGCGAAGGCACACATTGAATTGGGACTCGGGACGTTGAAGCTGTGCCCTGAAAGTGGGGCGGTAGGGCTGAGACCCCACTCGGCGCCTAATTTAGCGCAGTGAGGGTTACCTGCTGACCTTTTCGCTGCAGCTCTGTTGCGACGATTCTCTGTTACACGTCCCCTTCGGCCCCTTCTTGATCTCTCTCTCTGTGTAACACCTCTTGTGTAACATTTCGTTGTCTTGACGAAGTCGCAATTCGTCGGATCATTGCTACCTTACTCCTGATTTCCTAACTTCCATATCCGGGAACTCACTGGGGGAACGATTTGGGACGATCCCTCGGGTCGCGGCAAGTTGCCGCCGACACCCGCCCGGCGTGGTGAAAATGTGCACCAGTTCAATCCCATTCACACCGAAACTGTAGCGCGCTGGAGTCTCGATGCGCTCTCACTATGCATAGGCGCTCACACAGTCTTCTCATCAGTCCTGTTCTCTGGATGGATGAAACGGCCTCTGAGAAGAACAATACCTCAGACGCAATGGGTAACGGCTGCTGACCCTACCCCATTGGCCTATTCATCCCTGGCAGGGCAAGACAACTCTTTTTCCTACCCCAGCCGTTGTCCATCGAGACACATGGGCCGTTCCGAGCAATTTTAGCTATGTGAAGAGGTTAGCTGCGAAGTCGTGGCAACCCCCTCCGCCAAACTGGCTGCCTGGCCCCGCGACTCGAATAGCGGACAATAGCGGCTCTGACCTCTCAACAACGGGACCAGGGTGCGGGCCGGTCCTTCAGGAATCCCGTCTTGAAACAACAGCTCCACGGGGCCACGGCAGGCTGACGTACAAACGACGAGATACGGCTTGTGCCACCGAGCCCACAGCCTCAGTCCCGCACCGTCGGGTCCGCATAGCGCCGATGCACATCAGCGGCCCGCACAATGGTGTCTAACAAAGGAATTTTTGAAACAGCACCCCGTCTCGTGACGGCATTTCTTCTTGATTGGCTTCAGAGCAATGCCCAAAGTTGGGGCCAAAACATCACATGGCCCCTCTACCAACAATCACGACTTGCCCTGCTGAGCTGAGTGCCGAGTTTGATCATGGCGTTGCCTCAGGACTTTACTCGACCTTCTTTGAGGAATGCCTTGGTTGGTTCCACCGCAGGATGGAGGATCTGAGCCTCAAAAGCACCTGTTTGCTGGAGCCTGCATTACAGCATGGTACGTACCAAGACTTCGCCGGCGTACTTATTGGGACGAAGCAACCTCTTCACGGACTTCCATTGTCTCATTCTCCCTATGCCCCTCAGAAGTCACCCTTCGTCCCTAAGTTTTGCCTCATCAGTCATGTTGACAGAACCAATACCTCAGAACGGAATGTGGCGTGCAGTGGACGCGGTGCGCTATCTGTTCCGAACATCCATCCCAACTGCTGGCGTCTTCTGGGCCAAGTCCAATGAACATAGCCAACGGCAGTGCAAGGCGTGCGACGAGGTCTGCGAGCTCCTACGTTGGGGCGAGGTTCAACGGAGACGAGAGAACGCCTACCAAGGGTCCTCGTCTTCCCGCGTCATCCATGACAGCTACCTTGAGCTCGATCTCTGCGCAAGCGTGACGGGCTGCGATACTTGTCGGATAATCCGGCGCGCTTTCCTCCTGGAACAAATTACCGGGAATGATGCAGAGAGTCTGGGGCACCCCGACAATCAATGGCCAATCCACGTCATTCTGCAAATGGGGTCCTCCGGAGGCAGTCTCCTGCAACTTGCCATTAAGTCACCTGAAGCCCTTCACTTTTCTGCCACCATCCGCCTGAGCAATGGTCCATGGCCGCCACCTCGGGACGTGATTAAAGGCATCCCCAGCCTGCGCTCGGATCTCAGCGAGCTACGCCGAGTCATCGACGACTGCCACCGCAATCATGAATGCTCTTCGCGATACCGTTGGTCCCGCCGGAACCCAACCTGGCTGCTCAAAATCCTCACTAGTGATCTTGTGCAACTGGTTGAGGGACCACCGACCCCCGTCGATTACGTTGTGCTCAGCTATTCCTGGGGCGACCCGGCGACCATGCCCGCCGCCGAGTGGGCGAGGATCAAGGGAGCTGGCACCAAGACGATAGACGGCCAACCCGTCCCTGAGCGACTGAACCCGTTTCGGATCTGGGATCTCCCCGAGACGATGCAGGACGCCATCAGAATATCGGCCTCGCTCGGGCTCTTCTACATCTGGATCGACAACGTCTGCATACCCAAGGGCACCAATTGGGATACCGAGGCATCCAAAATGCACGAGGTGTATGGAAATGCCGCCTTCACGCTTCTCGCATCCTCCAGTGGCAAAGCAACAGACCGTCTGCTACGGGACAGATTAGCTTGGACGCACCGGAACAGGGTATCTCAGCTGCGTGAGCTTTGGTGGCTCCACAACACGCAGATGCCGCTGGACCGCGTCCGTTTCGAGTCGCCCGTATCGCGGCGAGGGTGGACGCTACAGGAAGAGCGCCTCTCGCCAAGGATTGTCTACTGGGCGGGCCAGCAATGGTACTGGTCCTGTCCCGAGTGTCAGGTCGTCGAGATGGGCGAGCCCAACTGCACCTCTCCCACAGCCGACGAAGCGTCTCGGAGCTATCCCCAGCGTTTCCTCGAGCTCTGCCGGACGGGGGATGAGCATCAACTCCACGAAGAGTGGCTCGACATCGTAGAAGCCTACACTCTCCGGGACCTGGTGTCGCCCAAGGACCGATTTCTCGCCATTGCTGGCCTTGCCGTGCGCTTTTATAATGCCAAGGCGGGCAATGGCGGAACCGTCATCACCGAAGACTACCTGGCCGGCCTGTGGAAGGACAACTTTGCTCGACACCTTGCCTGGGCGGTAGCAACCGCTGTTGATTCGCGCCACAGCCTGCAGCATATCGCACCGTCGTGGTCCTGGGCATCGCTGCCACTACAAGTGCGCACCAAAGCGAAAGGGCCGTTCACGCCGTCGGAGCACTTCAGATTCATCGCGGTCAGGCACCTTGGACCAGCGCGCCCCACGAGCTTCTCAGCCACTGGGCTACGCGAAAGCTCAACGGGAGACGACGACCCCTCGACCGACTATGTCAACCGCGGTCGAGTTATCGAGGAACGGGGCCGACGCGTAAAGGCGGTCGAAGTCCGAGGCCGGTTCCGCCGTTTTATTTCCGAGGACGCCCAGCAAATGCTGTGGGACGACATCGAGTGGAAACGCGGCGCGGGCGGGAGGCCCCGGTTCGACTTCGGCGCCTTTCCCGGCCAGAACGTCTACGCTCGGAACCGGGGTGACGGGCGGATCGTGTCGAAGGATGCCCACAGCGGCGAAGTGGTCGGGCAGCTTGACTATCTCGTCCGTCCGTCGGACCATGACGCACCACAAACTCGCCAAACGCCTTATGTTCCGGAGGGGAGCGAGAAGGAGATTGTGTGTCTCGAGCTTGGCGACTCGGCTATGCTCTTGCTGGTGCCGAGCCGCAAATGGGGCCAGCCTAAGGCCTTTCGGCGGGTTGGAGTGGCTGTTGGGTATACGGGCAGGAAGGGTTTCTTTTACGGATGCTGTACGAGGAACGTTGTGATGGAGTAGTCCCCCATGTTGAGTCTTGGCGTAGTAGGTAGTACTACCTGCAACTTTCTTCCGCTTTTCCGGCATCTCCATGTCCTGACTAGTCGCCGTCCCACAACATGACACGCTTAGGGTTGATATACCTAATTTTAGGGCAATTTTGGAGGCAGGCTAGATACGAGAAGAACATTCGTTTCTCCGCCAGTTCCCTCCGGGCGCTCCATCCGAGACCGCGAGACTTCAACCTAAATAGATGCCAGACACCAGACATATCGAGCAGTCATCCTAACAGCTCCATGCTGCAAATCTCAATAGCGCACTGAAGAAGAAGTGATGGGCCTTATATCTTCCCAATAATTCTTTCCTGACTCACAGTTATTGCTTTCCCAGTTGCGTCATTTCCAATCTGTCCGAGGTCCGTTGTTAGTGTCAGTCTCTAGGAGAAAGGTGTACTACGGAGCCGATAGCAGGGACTGTCGCCCTCTTACCTTGTAGTACGGTTTGTCGTCTCTTGTGAGCACCTCTTCGATGGTGCCCTTGGTCTCGGGCGTCTTGGAGTCCCGGCCTGGCAACGTGCTTCAGTTGACAAACGCCCAAGTGCGAATCATCGCTCGGGATAGCAGAAACCCACTGCAGAACGGTCTATAATGAACGTGGTCGCCGGGCTGGTAGTATATCTCGGCGGTGTTGCGTCTCGGTTCATTGTTGGATGCCATCGTCGTAACAAGAGGTTGATGTGGCTGTGGGTAAAGCGCTCAGAGTCCGAGTGCAGAGTCCCAACGTCCACGTTAACTGGCACGAGCGACTTTCATTTCGCTACGCAATTGTATGTCACTTCAACAAAGCAGTATAGTGGTCCCTAGATGTCACTGTAAAGGCGTTACGGTCGTCAAGTTCAAGTTGAACGTATATGTCGTCACGTCAAGGCCTTTGGTTGAGTATCCCGGGCCTTACCACCGTCTGGCCTGACGTCAGCGGCAAACTCGAGATTTAGTGCAGATACAACTCGCCAATAACAGAGGTCATAGCTCCAACAAAGTCCATATGGTATCTTGACCGTTATCCATTTATCACTAGGGCAGAGTAGCGTCATACCGTGTAGCGTCATACCGTGAGGGTACACCAGTTCCATCCGCTACTCTCGTCTTGAAGTCACAAGTTCAAATCCCATGACGCTACCTTACAGTAATAGCGCAGTAAGAGGATCGTCATGCCTGGTCCCATCCAACCATCCATATCACTATCCTCTCCGATCCAGTCCTTCCGTCTTCAACCCCTCCACACCGCCGGACCAGGAGGCTTGTACTGCTCCGGCTGGATGGCACCCAGGTTGACCAGAATGCCCGGGTCATTGCTGCTGTAGGCGCCAGGCAGCGCCACCAGTGGGCCGGGAGATCCACCGCCTCCGCCAGTGACCTGGATCTGCGAGCAGGCAATGTAGAACTGGGCCCTGTTGGGCTGCATGGCCATGTGCAGCGCGATCTGCTCGACACGGAGGAGGTACTCGCCGCTGGGCGTGGACGCGGGGATGGTTGCGTTGGCGGTTGTGTATGTGTCTGCCCTCCCAATGGTTAGCAAGGTCATTATAACCTGCAATTCTTTCTCTTTTTCTGTTTTTTTTTTTTTTTTCGTTTCTGTTTTTTGCGGGAGGAGGGTTATTTTTTTTAGAAGCGAGGCAGGTAAGCTTACTTTGCGCTGGCCAGACCATCTGCCTGTTGCTGTCCCAGTAGGGCATCGTAGTGCCAATCTTGAACCACAAGGTGCCGGAACCGTCCCACGTCTTGGCCGACGAGCCCGCCGGGACCTTGGCGAGGTAATATTGCGTCGGGCCCGGGTGGTTGATTTGCTGGGTCGAGATGTAGTGCACCGTAGACCCGGCGGGCACGGTCGCTACGTTAGAAGCCGTCTGGGACGTGTAGCAGCGTATGTCGGCGCTGGTCGGGTTTTCGACACCTTGCTTGCTCTGCGCATTCTTGGTCATGCGCGTGGCGGACCAGTCCTTATCCTCGGCAGGCTTGCCGTTGACGACGAGTCGTGGGAACGTGTCTGATGGGGGAAGCTTAGTTTGGATGGTACCCCAAATTCAGGGGTTGGGGCTGGGGGGACATACAATGCGCTTGGACCGCCGTGGCTGCAAGCAGCAGTCCTATGAAAAATTGCATGTTAAGCTTCTGCTGGCTTGTTTACGTGTGGTGTTAGCTGGTTGAGGCAGAACTGGCAGGTTTCAGTCAGCTGTTACGGTTACAGCACAAGATTGTCCAGTCCATGTCTCCTTATATGGTGGAGGGAGCCTTGACTACGAAGATGGGCATATCAGGTTGTCCAAGCCAAACTCCAATCCAGTTGCCAATCCTACACCTGTAATCCGGGAGTTAGATCCGACTCGGAGTTGGTCATGCAACTTTGCTGCTTTGGGACACCGTACCCCTATAGGGCAAGTGTGTAGCCATCGAACTCCGTGACGATTTAACCAGTTTCCGAATGCAACTGCCGGATTGAGGATTCTGGGCTATTCTATTCAGATATCTGACGAGAACTCTTGGAAAAAGGGGTCATGTGAGCGCGGTATATTAATTTATATTGGAAACTTCGGCAGCGACTTGCTTTTCCGGATAGCATCGGGCATACCGCATTCCCCCCCTGCTTCGCGCCCTCGACCGTCGATATCTGACACTGTCTATGGGTACAACGCAGCACCTTTTCTCGATGGTTAGTTGCCCAGTGACGCCGCCGTTTACGTAGGTTAGTGTGAAAGGCTGCCCGGAGGCTGGAGGTCTGATGCCTTACATGTATGAATGGCATGAACAAATGCCAGTGGGACACAACTCACGTCGAACACCGGCTTACTGAAGCTCGTCGGGCACTGTAGGACTGTACAATCTAACCCTGGTTGTTTGTTAGCATGGCACATGGCGGCCCATTGAGAAAAAGGAAAGGGGACATAAAAGAAAGAAAAAAAAGTAGAAAATGGGAAAATAGAAAGAACAACTATATAGCTTAAAGGTAAGAAAGTACTACCTAACTAAAGAAAAGAAAAAAAGTATTGACAGATGGAGCGAAACATGAGAATATGAAAGTGAAAGACAAAAGCAAAAGAAAAAGAAGAAGAAAAGACAGTGAATACTAGAGTACACAGTCTTGTGTTGTTTCCTTCGCAAGATCCGCGTTGACAAAAAAACCGGGGTCGGATTGTAAGAATGTGTGCAAAACTTGTATGTTCATGATGTAAGGCTATATACAGGTCTTGTGCCGAATCACCATTATAGGCCGTTAGTTGAGTTCCAGCACTGCCCTCCACGGCATCGAACTTGCATCTGCTGCGCTCCCTCGACCCAAAAGAGACTTGCCAACTCCAGTCCCTCCCACACTCTCAGTTCTTACCGCATTCCTCCAACTCCTCCGAACCCTACAGCCACTTAACGAGTTGACAGCGACAGCTCGCTTAGCAGGTAAAGACGGGAGGACCTGGGTTCTTGTACGAGGTCGGGACGGGGTAGTTGATGTTGATGAGGATGCCCGGGTCCGACGCCTTGTAGGCGCCCGGGAAGGCGACCTTGTTGGGGGGCTCGGTGCTGCCGCCGCCCGTGACAGCGATCTGGGCGCACGAGATGTAAAACTGGGCGCCGCCGCTGCTCTGGGCCACGTGCAGGCCGATGTGCTCGGCGCGGATGAGGTAGTAGCCGTTGCGGATGCAGCGCGGGATGGGAACCTGGAACGAGGACTTGCCTATAAGCCATCAGATCAGTACCTGTTTCCCAAAAAAAAAAAAAAAATAACTGATAAAAGGGGGGAGTTGAGCGGCGTACCATTGCTAGGCCATGTCAGCTGCGACCCAAAGTTGGGCTGCTCGTGGTACACCTTGAACCAGACGGCTCCGTCGCCGTTCCACGAGTTGATATTTTGTCCGTCGGGCACGCGGGCCAGGTAGAACTGCATGGGGCCTGGGTGGTAGGCGCTGGGGTTGACGTAGTAGGTGACGGACGAGCCGGCCGTGACGTTGAGCGTGGCCGGAGCCGCCGCGGGGCTCGATTGGAAGCAGCGGATCTGCGCCGAGTTGACGTCGCCCACGAAGCCGTTGTTCTGCCAGTTGTCGGCCCGCCGCACATGCTGCCAATCGGAGCCGCTGTTGATGCGCGGGAGCGTGTAGTGGCCGCTGACGCCGAGGGCGGCCGCCAGGAGAGCGAAGGTAGTGGCCAGCATGGTGCAGTCTGATGACTTGTGTTGGAACCTGAAGGAAGTGTGCGGGTTGGCCTGTTACCTGACAGTCAGGAGGGAGCGATGAAAATTCGGCCTTATAAGTTTTCACTGGCCCCAGTGATTCCAAGGCCAGCCGCCCTTTGTCGGTCTTCCCATATGGAGTAACTAGCCTCCGTGACACTGTCAAGAACGCGAGTGATGTGCTTTGCTTGGCAAGACATGCAATTCCCGGATTCCGACCCAGAGTTGCCTGTCCTGGGGCTCCGGTAGCCGCCTGCCGCCTCGTCCCGGCCGGCTAAAGGCAGTCTAGCCACTTACACGGCACATCGATATTGTCGACTTTCCACATCAGGCCAACGGCACTCGGCTCCGTCTCTACATGTCCCGGTCAGCGTTGTGGGGTGCATGAATTTCGCACAACCGACTACTCCCTAAATATTTTGTAACCCAGAAGAACACTTGAATCCAGGCTTGCACGCGTCATCCCTTGGCTGTTGACCATGGCATCCGGATACGGAGTAACCATATATGCATCCACGGGTGACGCCAGGCCAGAATGGGCCGGAGTTATGCCTCCTAGGTAAACGTCACGGAGGCCGGTGTTTGGGTTGTCATGCGTCTCCCAGACAGGTGCAGTGGGTACTCGGAAACGGGCCGAAGGCCTAGTCAACACCGTATTCCCCTTTCCATTTTCCCCACTGCCCGTGGAGAACTCGCTGCAAAGCCGGTCCGTAACTCCAGTCTGGAATCATGCGGTTTGCGTGGGCTTGCCTTGACGGTGCTGTTCTAGATATAAGCCAACCCCCACAACTTGCTGTCAGCCCCAGTCTATCCCTTGGCGGGCTAAGCCGGGGTGTCTTACACATGGCGTGCTTCTTGTGCGGGATCACTTACTGTGGTAACTCCAACTGGTTAAGCTAGGTGGGTATTGGCGTTACGCTGACGGAATCAAGAAGCCATGTTTGCCGGAGACAAATGTCGAAAGCGAGCGGGAAGTTCCACTTTGACATGCCTGGCGCCCTACTGCCTACCGGTCTTGCTACCTCAGGTAAAAGATCAGGATACGTCTGTGTTACGACGATATCGCCGGATGTACAGGAACTTATCACCATATACTTGATGATTGGTATAGCAACACAACGCCCTGCTCCTGCAACTATCTTGAAGATCCAACTCATCTCGAGCTGAGGGTGTCGGGAGTACCGTACAGGTATCCAACCCTCAAGGGTACCCTATTGATATGCACAACTAGGCTTTCTCACTTCTGGTGAAAAGAGCACGCATCATACCAGCCAAACCGTCATACATGGGAACGGACGTACATGTACTCATTGATACGTTTATGATCTCGGGTCCCATCTCCGCAAAAATAAGACCACCACATCCACCTTCATCAGGGCTGCAGCAAGCCAAGCCCTATCCGCGCGATGCGAAAGAATCAAAGAGTACTAGTACTACAGTAGTAAAAAACGACATTACGAGGATGATGCCTCAGGCTCACTCAGGGGTTTTAACCCCAAAATCCGGGTCGCCGCGTGCTCGGCGGCGATGACAATCATGGCCGACGGGTTGCCCGTGATGTGGCCGGGGAATATGGAAGCGTCGACGACAAAAATGTTGTCGGTGCCGTATACTTTGGCGTCCAGGTCCACCACGGACGTGCCGCCGGTCCGTCCATCGTCCGTGCCAATCTTGGCAGTCCCTGTTGACGTTAGAAGATGCGGTCAGGATCAACGTACGGTAAGGTAGGTAAGGTGCAGATGTGGGCGGGGGGGCAGTCTTACCAATCCAGTGGTTGGAGCAGCGGCGTGCAGGAGTGGCGGGTATCTATTATCTCTCTTGTGAGCAAAATTTCTTCCCCTGATGTGCACATATGGAGCGAGAGGGTCAGCTCACCGAGTCCACAAACGCCTCGGCCGTCACGTTGGGAAGAGGAGTGATCCACGTCAGGTTGGCCACGTCCTTCAGCGACTCGCGGAGGTTGACGATGCCCTGGATTACCACCTCCCTGTCGTACTTGTCACGCAGGTAAGGGGGAGTGGAGACGATGGTGTTCAGCTGCCGAGTGATGGTCATCCGTCCTCGAGACAGAGACCCTGTGCCCAGGTACTGGGTTACGGTCATGGAGGCTGTGAACCATCAGTCTTCTCTGTGTGTCCGGTCTGCGGGATTGCTGGGTCCTCGGACTCACTGTTCAGTTTGCCCTCGACCCGAGCTTGCCATTGAAGGTGGCGCGAGACACCGTCGCTTCCCTTGATGATCTCCCAGAACTGTTGCCATGCAGTCAGCATTACGATGATTACGATACTCCTATGGGAGCACTTCAACGTACAATCGGCCCAATATTTGGGGCGGCCTGTGCCAGAGGTCCGGTTCTGTTGGCTGCGACGCTTGTTTTAACCCCTTTTCTTCTCCACCACATGATCGTGTCTCAGGGGGCTCACCAAGATATGACTCGGCGTGGGTGGCGATGGGCTTATTCCAGGCACCGTAATAGTCATAAAAGACCACGTCCGGGTGGGCAATCTCAACGTCGGTCTGTTCCATGCCAGTTAACTCCAGTCAGTAATGCTTGGCGCAGGCTTGCCGCGAGATTCCTTGTCGCCCAGGGGCTCTGAAGTCTGAACTTGGCACTTACTCCGACGTGGTCATTGAGGTTATAGCCAACTGGCAAGTTGATCCACTGATCCGAAGAGATCATGGTCGGGCCGTCGGTCGAGTTCTTGACGATGTTGAGCTGGTCCGTCGGTCCAATGCCACCTGGCCAGCGTCAGTACGGTACGGTCAATCCCGAAAACACAATCAACACAGTTCTTACTCCGAAAAAGCAGCTTCGCCGATCCAAAAGCCCCCGCCGAGATGATCACACGACCCGTCTTCGGCGTGAGCGGGACGACGCCAGTGTGGCCCGCGCCGCCGCCGCTGCTGCTGCTGCACTGCACCTCCACACCCGTAGCATGTCCGCCTTCCCGGATCACCCGCCTCACAGTCGTGTTCATCCAGAGCGTGAAGCCCCTGCGGCCGGCGGCCGAGACCAGGTAGGTGGCCAGCGGGCCGCCCCGCTCGCCGCCGGCGTACATAAACGTGCTGTGCCCGAACGTGCGGTTCTTCTTGTCCGGGTGCGCGTTAGGCGGGTCGAGGTACTCCCAGCCCGCGGCCCGGAGGCTGCCGCCCAGCATGTCAAACCCCTGCGACAGGTACCGCCTGCCGTCCATCGACGGGGCGATGGTGCCGGGGATGCGAGAGAACACGCGCTCCGTGGCGGCCGCCACGTTGGTGCTGCGCCAGCCCTCGGGAAAATTGACGTCCCAGTCAGCCGGGTGCGGCTTCCACCAGAGCCCGGCATTGACAGCCGTGCCACCGCCGAGCATGCAGCCGGCCATCTGGTCGACATCGGTGCAGACGGCGCCCGTCGGGTCGGCCCAGATCTGGTTGCAAAGCCCGGGAACGTCGAAGCGCGTCAGGAGCGTGTCTTTGAGCCAGTCCGGCTTCATCGTCCCGCCCCATCGTCCCGTGGACGCGGGCCCCTTTTCGATCAGGAGGACCTTGTGCCCTGCCTCGCTCAGCCGGTCGGCCATGGGGATGCCTCCGGCGCCGGACCCTACTACTATGTAGTCGTACGTCTCGGTCGAGGGAACCTCGGCGCATTGTGCCTGGGCGCCGGTTGGATGTGGCCCTGGGCAGCTTAGTGACTTGTCTCGGATCCCGTTCCTTCTTTTTACCTACAGAGAGCCAGGGCGGCCCCGGCAACCGCCAGTTTATAGGGAACTTGCATGCCGATTCAGCTTGGGGCGTAGAGAGAGAAGGGGAGAACGGAGCTGGTCCGTTCGAGTCCCGGTTCTGACCATATTAAGGAGGACCAGTGACCTCTTAAAGCTTTCCAACCAAGGCCCTTCAACGATCTCAATTCCCCCGCTCAATCTACCTACCTCTCTCTCATAGTGAGGTGTTATCGCCGAGGTCCTTCCCCCACAATTACCCCAGACTCGGGCGCGGAATTTTTTTCCTGCATGTATCTTAAGTGAACTCTGGGATCGGTTATTAGCCGAAACATCCCATCATAAGAACTTGGCAGTAAGCACGCGTGGCTGGACCAACGAGACGAGTCTGGGGTGCATCCTGCCAATGTATTTTGAGCGGGAAAGTCACACCCAGGCAGCTGGAGGATATATTGCTATTCGCCTCAACTCGATATTATTGGGCTTCCTTCAAATGACCTCGTGGTGCCGACGCCTACCTATACCGGAGCAACCTGTTTTTCAGGAGGTACCTCGTTGCCCCTGATTACCTATACTGAAAGTAACCAGGTAACCAACCATGCGGTTCTGGAGGGATAGCAGCCTGTTACCCCTTTCCGCTACCGGCACCCGCGAATTTATCCTGATGATTGTACGCCTGAACTTTCAAGCAGTTCGGCATATAATATGCCTGCGACTGAGAATGCATAGAAAGAGGTCTCACCAGGCCCCTTTAAGCCTTCAGGTCGCGGGATCTACAAGTGAATTCCGAATTCCAAAGCTAAAGATTAGACGCCGTATTGACACCGGTTGCCAGGTTGCAACATACACCCCCAGCCCCTGCTGATGAAAAATGGATAACTATGCTTAGGTTGCTAATTCCACGGCAGATCTTTACTACCAGTAGGCATCTAGAATGTTAACTACTGTCTACTGTAACTAGATTAGGATGGCTGAGATCTAGGCTGATTTGGGCTGAGTCGAAGACGGCACATGGAACTGGCAAGGAAATAGGGAGTAAGAATTTAGTGGGAAAGGAAGTGTCCAAAAAAGTTGAGAAGCGCTGGTTGCCAGCCAGGTCTGAGAGAAGTTACTTGCCCAACTATAGTCTTGTGCTTAGAGGGCTAGGAGGGAAGGTCGGCTGCAGGCACCACCAAGCATCAACTCTGGCGCTCCCTCACTCAGCCTTGGTATATCCTTTTGTCACAGACGGCGGTCAGTATCTCAGCAATCTTACCACAGTAACCTACTGAAAGAGCAGGTCTGCCCTAGAGGCACTAGTACGAGCGGTGTCTTCATATTTATTCAAGGACGAAGAGTCACCAATAGAACCATCGGAGAATTCCCAGAGACTAGAGAGCAAAATCAATCAGCTATAAGCTCAAGCCACTCAACCGGGGCATATCAGGATAACACGAGCAAGCGTCCTGATGAACTTTTAATCGAGATACGAATAGGTCCTTACAAACTAGTAATTACATTGACCATCGAGCTTCTGAATGCCCCCAGCGCCGAGAATGAAATCACATACCTACCAAGCTCGCTCAGTTCAAAGAACCTTCCGGCGAGTCGCTCATGAAAGCATCCCATCCATCAACACCGCCCGGCGACCCAGGTCCCTCTCCCTGGTCCCCGTCGTCGTCAGACAGAAGCCTCACCTGAGCTTCCATCATCGGAAATCCCTCGCACCAGGTGGGGGCAGCATGATTGGATTCGGTGACTGGACCCCGCAAACCACGGCGGTCGATGGGCGGCAGCTGCTCGGGCTGAACAGCAGCACCGATGGCATCACCACCACCATCAGTCTCAAGAAATCCCGATTCAGGTTGCTGCTGCATCGAGGGCAGACAAAAGCCTCCCGGGCTTGTCGTCACCATAGTTATCATCGCAGACTCAGTGTCCACATTGCTGTCGTGCGTACGCCGCAGCAGGGAGGCAGCGCTAGCTGCGCCTTCATGCTGCGCCCCCATTGACATCAGCTGCAGGTATCCAATGTCTGCTAGCTCTTCGGATTGGGGTTGCGGTGTAATAGACTCGGGCGCAGTGTCGTCGTCTAACATACTCGCCCTTTCCCCATTGAGGGCACCGAGATCGACTTCTGCTCGGCAGGAATCAGAGGTGGCACTAGACACGGCACCGCATATGCTCGATTGTGACCGGCATCCTTGCTCATCGCTGGAGAAGCATGCCGAGGACATGGACGTTGCCGAGTCTTTTCGTACCGCAGATCCTGGCGACAGCACGCATCGACTAGGCGACCATTGCTCTGGCGCCCAAGCCGTGGACACGGTGGGCTTGACCTCTACGGCCGAGTACACAGGATCCTGCATGGGCCCTGGGAATGTTCGTGGCTTTGGAGACCTGATTGGCCACTCATCCCGGGGGTTCTGGCATGACAGGGGAGGCATGTGCACGCCCCGACGACCAACAAGCCCGTTGTTCATACCGAGGGCGGCGGCGGCGAACGGCCGGGGCGGGCCGAGCGGATCTGGGGGACGCCAGGTGCCGGCAACAGCTCCCTGGGCACGATCGGGGGACACGGTGGGGACTGGACGAGTCGATGCTGAAGCCGAAGCCGAAGCCGGAGCTGTAGGCTTTCGCGGCCCAGGCATTAGCAGTCCAGCAGCTAGAGAGCGCTGATAAACTGTGGCGTCAAACACCATGTGAGGGAGCAATGGTGGAACGTATGACAGAGAGTAACGGGTCTGATACGTGTCGGCGAGGCCAATGACGGTCTCAGAAGCCTGTCGGCATACGGTATCGGGCCTCTTATCTCCAAAGAGGCTGAGGGGCAATTCGTCCACAAGGTTCTCCGAGCCTGAGACAAGGGGGCGAAGAAGGCTGAAGAGGCAATAGTGGAACCATATACTTAATACAGAATCAGTCTTGTTCTCCTAGGACAGGGGTTTGCAGAGCGGCACGGTGGGGTGGGAAAAAGAGGCTTACCGAGCGAGAAGCACATCGGCTTCAAACCCCTCGTCATGAGCCAACGACCCAGCAACCTGGCGATGGTAGGAAATGCACCGGCGGAAGGTTCCATCAAGGTCGTCAGCCGTCATAGTGATGCAGGCGCTATATGTCCTGAAAGTGTGCACCGCCTCGGTGACCTTGAAAACGAACCGGGCCAGCGGGGGGCAGTACTGCAGCTGCCTATAGAACTGCGCGTACAGTAAAATACCTGGCCAACTGGTTAGCAAGTCGAGGCCACAGTGAGGACATAAGCAGTGGATCACTGGTGTGGAAAAGGACAACGACGGACCTCTCTCGACGCGTGCTTCAGGGGTGTCATCCCCCAGGTCTCCCCAGTCGGTATGGATCCTCATAAGCAACGGGGCACCCTTCAGCTCGAGATTGCCACTTAAAAGCCTGATAAGCCTGTCGACCTTTGTGTCAGTCAGGGGGTCATCGGGAGAAACAAAGAACTGGGCTACTGGTACGCTGCTAACCGATTCAGGGACAACACCCCGCAATAGGTCATTCCCAGCACAGTCCCGAATTCGTCATCAGGGTCGCCGTGTTGGTTTTGCTGATGCAATAGGAGATGGATACATGCCCTGAGAGACTCCCGCGCAAGGTCAACGGCCTCGTCCTGGTTTCTCCGGGCCATCTCAGCCAGAGCCAGGACCCCGAGAGCCTGGATACATGGGAGGTTAACAAGGCTTGGCTCCCTCAGCAACAACCTTTTCGCTTGCCCAATGAATGCATCCTCGAGCCTGAGTCTGGAGACCAGTTGAGACGGCACAGTGATCATATTGCAAGCAGTGCCCAGGATTGCATTTACCAAAGCCTCTGAGCAATATCGGCAGTTTCCTTCACGGAAGTCTTGCACGAAGTGGCGCTCCGAGACCAGGAAAAGGTAAGAGAGCGGGCTGGCGAAGAAGCCGGCCAGCAGCCGCTGAACAAGGCCTGTGTCGGACGTGACCTCGGTCCATGTATAAGTGATCGGACCAATCGAGCTCTCTGGAAAGGGGAAGTGCCGGCGTCTTGGCAAATCGAAGACCGTCATGCAACCCCCTGGATCGGGAAGGAAAGTTTGGGCATCGAAGTCATCCTGAAAGGAGGACCCCCATGCCATCCCTCGAGTGGCTCGGGCTGGAGTTTGCGTCGCGGTTTCCCGGAGTACAGGAAGGGGCGAGCCGGCACCAAGACGACACTTGGGCGGGTCGACAGAGGGCCCAATGGGCTGTTCGGGAACAGAGATGGTTTTGATACCCCCGCCCTTTTTGGCTCCATGATACGGCCGCCCTTGGGCAGCGGGACCGCCGAGGAGGATGGTCGAAGGCGTCTCGATCAGACAGCCAAACTCCGGATCCGCCGAGGGGGGAGACGCAGCAGATGCCATCTCGTGACCCAGTCTGAGGGTCTTGGACCGTCCGGCTGTATACCATGACGATTGTACGACGATCCATTCTGCCGTACTGTCTGGAGGAACGCCTGCTCGCATTCGGTTCCAAGCCTCCTCGCAGCGCTCCGGGACATGGTTTGTAAGGGCGCGAAGGAGGTCGTGCAATGGCTGATTGTCGGTCTGCAGCCTCTTGATCTCGCTCCTCAAGTGTCCCTTGGTCCTCAACTTTTTGTCCTCGTACAAACATTCTTCCTTTCGTTCCTTGCACCTCTTGCAGGTTGGCTGGCCGTCACACTATGGAGCGGTTGGGTTAGCAGGCCATGGGAGTGTCCCGTTCTCGCCCGTTGGGCAAGTCATACCTTTGTCCTCTTTTCCCGGCACCGAAGGCAGGCGTTTGGGGTCAAATGTTCCCTCGGCATGTTCAGTTGGATGGCAGATAAGAGCGAGTCACCACGCAAAGGCTCCTGCGCAATATACTGCGTAAGAGGTCAAAGTGCCTCATCAACGGCAAGGAGTAGTATTTATGGGGCAACTTGTCACCTGCGATGGAGCCGAATCACAAACCGTTGGCCCCAGCAACACGCTCCGGGATCTAGATCGCTGACCTCGACCGAACTGGGGTGGGACCGACGAAAGAGGACGCTGGTGGTAGATCTATCCGACGATGATGTGAGATGGGATTATCAGCGCACACCCACAGACTTTGGTGACAGGGACCTGAGTGCAGCAACCGACGGCCCGCCATGATGGATCCGATGCCGACGAACACCACCTTGACGCAACCATCTCGTTGCGGTCTGCGATGACTGCCGGGATGTAGCGACCAGCCATGCAGAAGCCAGAAGATGAGCAGGGAAGCATCGACTCCGCGGTCAAACTGGCCTGGACGAAGCGGTTCATTCGCCTGTTGACCTTCGGGGCGAAATCGATATCTGAAGTGGCGGCTCCTCGTACTAAGCCAGATTGGTGCAGGCTACTGACGACGATGACGACAAGAAGCCGTTCACAGGCGCGCAGCACCGGAGAGGCCTGAGGGGACAAACTCGCCATCGCTGGAACTGGGTACCTTATGCGTGGGGCCGAGATCCGGGTGCCGTCATTCTTTACAGCGGTAAGATGTCAAGCGCAGCGGAACGAACCGCTCGGGTCCAACCCTACCAGCCTCCTACTTACGAATTGTGGCATCGCAATCTGCATGTGAACGCAGGAACGGGTCCGATCGGGAAGTCCTTGGGCGGGGATGTCGGCGGCGAAATCCCATCGTCTGACCGTTACCCAGGGGTGTTGATAAAAGGTAAATTGCTAAGGTAATTGAGGCTAGACATTCTCCTCCCATCAAACCGTTGTAAGCTCAACGTCTTGAGTTTCGGTTCGACGTCTTGACGAGTAGACGGTCTTGTTGCGGCAGGGAGAAGGTAAGCCATAAGGCCCGACCGTGCATTCACCGAGGACCATCATGACCGTGTTCTCAAATGGACGATGTCCATGTATATCTAATCAAGAGCGGGCGACAAATGTAAATGGACGTCTAAATGAGGCCTTGGGAATACAAAATTCGGAAGCCGCCAATCTTATCGCGATATTGGGAGGTAGTGGCCTTGCTTGCAGGTGGGAATGAATGAATGGAGCCAGGTGCGACTATAGTATATTCTCGACTTTCAGTAGCTCGAGCAGGCCCTACTAATAGTCTAATTGATCTACCCTGTTAACCGTAGCTAGTTTAGTTATTTTCTTTTCCATATAATTGCAATAGACTAATTACTGTATTTATTATTATTATTATTTCTATACCGCTATGCCCTAGGGGTCGCCAGACCCTCTATGTCACGGGATTCCCCATTCCTGTTCTCATGGTTATGTCATATGCTTGCGGTTATGCATACGTCATGGGGTCTGATCATACGTCTATGGTCATGCTTACGCATAGGCCTCTGCTCCAGTACTTAAGGTCTGGTTGCACGCCCATTCCTGTCATCTAGCTCTTGCTCTCGTTGTAGCAATATCGATCTTGTATGTGCGAGCTGACCAGCCCTTGGGTGGTGCCCGTCACACCCTACCCACCGTACAACCAGCCGATCTGTCATTGGCCGAAACTTGACGAAAGGTGTCACGGGCGGGACAGGCTGATAGTCCAATGGCAGTTGTATTCGTGCTAAGCTACAATCTGGGCTCTATTCCGTCAGGTACGGGCAGGCTTGA